CCCCCCCCCCGCCGGACGAGCCTTCCAGCCGCTTCCTTAGCAGCAGCCTCCCAGCCCTCGTGCAGGGCCTGTCGTACGGTCTGGGGCCAGCGGCCGGGGCCTCATGCTTCTCTCCCCACCACGTGCAGGGTGCTACTGGTCCCCCTGGCCCCTCTGTGAGTATCTGCTCCTTGGTCCCCTTGGGCACAGAGCCGGGCGGGGTGGGCCACTGGTGGGGGGTTTCCACAGGGCGATGGGTGCCCTCCAGAGCAGGCACCTGGGAGCTGGGGGGGTGGCACCTTGAGGAGCTGGAGGGAGGGGTGCCAAGGCCCTGCTGCAGCACTTGCATGGCGCGTCTGAAAGCCAGGCGGCTCCAGCGGGGCACCGGGCGGGGAACGTCCGTGGAGATGGTCCGGGAAGCCCGGCATTGCCTGCACCCCAGGAGCGGCTCCGTCTGCCCCATGCTGGGTCTGGAGCCTGCCCTTCTGTCCTCAGACAGCCCTTGGGCCGCACAGCCTGACCTCTCTGCTCTCTCCCAGGGAAACATCGGTCTCCCCGGCCCCCCAGGCCCCAGCGGAAAGGAAGGTAGCAAGGGACCCCGTGGTGAGACTGGCCCCGCTGGCCGCAGCGGCGAACCCGGCCCCGCCGGCCCCCCCGGACCCTCTGGTGAGAAGGGCTCTCCCGGTTCCGACGGTGCCCCTGTAAGTACCTGTCCAGTGCTACCCCAGGGCCCTGCCGGAGCGCGACGGGCGGCTTGCTAACCAGACTCTCCTCCCCAGGGCTCCCCTGGCACCCCAGGCCCACAGGGTATCGCTGGGCAGCGCGGTGTCGTCGGCCTGCCTGGACAGAGAGGCGAGAGAGGATTCCCTGGGCTCCCTGGCCCATCTGTGAGTACGAGGTCAAACCCTCCACGGGGCTGGTGGCTGCAACTCGCTGCCCCATCCCAAAGCAGCCAGGCAGGACGGGACCTGTCGGCCGAGGCTCAGCCCTCCTGGCACCCGGGCGGGTGGGGGAGACGGGGGCGGGGCTCTCCATGGGAGCGGCAGAGGCTGGACGCCTGCCCTGTGCCTGGGGGAGCCGCTCTGGCCAGGACCCGGGAGCGGGGGGGGAACTCGCGAGGTTAGCCTTGTTCTT